TGTCCCACAACGCCAGGTGCACCAGCGTCTGGAGCATAACACACAGCGTTGGAAAAAAACAAATGTGAACGAATTGCGATAATCGCGATATTTGCGGTTGGCAGGTGTCACCCTCTGTATGGCTGAGAGGGCAAACTGGTTACCTATTTGCATCACATACACATTCACACACACACAATACACACACACACACACACACACACCACACACAAACACACACCACACACACACACACACACACACACACACACACACACAACACACACACACAACACACACACACACACACACACACACACAAACACACACACACACACACACACACACACACACACACACACACACACACACACACACACAACACACACACACACACACACACACACACACACACACACACACACACAACACACACACCACACACACACACACCACACAACACACACAACACACACACACACAACACACACACACACACACACACACACACACACACACACACACACACCCCACACACACACACACACAAACACACACACACACACACACACAAAAAAAAACACACACACACACACACACAAACACACACACACACACACACACACCCACACACACAACCACACACACACACACCACAACACACACACACACACACCACACACACACACACAAACACACAAACACACACACAACACCACACACACACACACACACAACACACACACACACACACACACAAACACACACACACACACACACACACACACACACACAACACACACACACACACACACACAGCTGCGGCCAACACAGATCAGGGGCCATATATTTCATGCATGATGGCGGGGCCAGGAGTAGCGACTATTGGATGAGTTTGGAGCCTCTTCAATGGTGATGTTGTAGATTCAAGCTCAGTATCGACTACGCAGCACGTGTCTGATGTTTACGATTTAGGATCGTCCCTTCACATTGCCTTTACGCACATATTCTACATACATTACGCCTATTCTTTTTAAAAAGGAAGGCATGTTTGACAAGATATTTGCGAGATGGCAGTGAAATGGATTGATCGATTGGGAAAACACGACAATATTTAAGACTCAGCTTGTCAGTTTGACCAAATCACTCCCGTAACATGTTCTTCCAGGAAATAATGGTTCGTCAGTACTGTAAGTCGTATACCGGCAAATGCCTTTATAGCTCCAAATTTGCCTCACACCAGCTTGTAAGATAAGCTGATGCTGTTTAGCACGATCGACAGCGCAGTCCACATCCAATGTGCCAAATAAAACGTTGATGTTTATCACGGCGGTATGATTTTATACAACTTCTAACGTGAATGTTTTAAGCTTTCTCTTATGGCTGATCATTTGGGTGAAATTTACTGCTCAACTTGTGGTTTGCTAGATTTTCAACGTCTTTTTAAGACAGCAGCTTTAAGTTTGCTCAAGTCAAGGCATGCTAGCTAGGTTTTCTGCGGAGCAGTCACATATCATGATTATCGAAGGTTATCCAGTGATCGGAGAAGATTTGACTCGAGATGTTGAGCCCACGATTTGCAGTTACAGCAGTGGTATTCATACGCCACAGATATTTTCTTAAGCTCGTCCCCGCGTGTAATTTTTGACCCAACCTGACGTCATCGGCACTGAAAGGGACTGCCAAAAATATAAAGATGCGTGTCAGTAACATCGCTATTTGCTCCACTCGGAAGAATAGTTTGACCTTTTATCTCGACTTTCAACCATCCAAGCTGGAGGGGCCTGCAAGTGCACGACGTAATGCTTAACAATGACGTGAACAAAATAGCATACATGACAACCCAATTCAACAATTGAGACATTGAATGACAGTAGAAACCAACAATATCAGCACAGAGTAAAGATCATATTTCACGCTATGCAGTCACTCAGGCAGAATAGGAGGTTCGATTTAGAGAAGTCTCCGACAGCAGATCTCTGTTGCTTCACAGGGCTGAAAGTGTGCACTATTCGAGCCCCAACATGTCCTGTGTTTTTCTCGCCGTTCCGGCGACGTCGCGCTTGCTCGGGGAGGGGCAAGGGCTCCAAGCGTCTTTCCTTGTGGGCGCATTTACAACAGCATATAGAAACGTTATGCGGCACGTCTGTCATCTAACTCGCTAATCAGATGCAATATGCACGTTAGATATGAAAAGCTTCCAGAGCTCACTTGCTAAATCTGAAGCATTTATGCGCAAGGGGTTGCCAGGCAAGCACCCTACAAGCGTGCGAGAATATCCTATACCCCCTCCATTACCATGGCGGCCCAATTAGTCCCGTTCCGTTTATTTAGTGCCGGATTTTGATGCATGATCAGCTTAGAGGAAGAAAGTGATATATGCGAACCTAATCCTGTACCGTAACAGGCCAGCGCCTGTCAAATCCCTGGCGTCGAAAGCTTACACTGACAGGGATATAGGTGGCGCTGGTGACGACATTATCGCATGGTGCCACCGGAGCAGGCTGATTCGTGGTGACTGTACGTGTAGACGAGTTCGAAAGCCATGTCTAATCCATTCGGACAGCTCAAGTGGTTACAAAATTTATGCATGCTTATTCAAGTAACTATGCTACAAATTTTGCCCATTGATATGTACGCATGCAGCCTTTGCGTGTGGTTCCGCAGGCAGTTTGTTTAGCATGTCACCGTTCACAGGTCGGCGGGCGAGCGGTGACCTGTGGTGACCCTGAGTGGTGACCTCATATCACGGCACGACTCCCTGACAATAACAGCAAAAGATCAATGTTTGGGTGCAATAATTGATCAAAAATATCATGAGCGCTCTTCAGGCACCTAACTTCTCTGTCGTGTGTCGTGCTGCTGCTCGTCTACTTCTCTGTCGTCACTGCGCATGGCCTCGGGGTAAAGGTAGTATAAAAGTACACATGTTTGACCTAGATGTCGATATCTGCATTGATAAAGTCGACTTACTTATCAGTTATGAATTTCAAAATCATGCTGTAGTGAGCACGGCCTGTCTCCGCATGAATATGTATACCCCTCTCCATTCTTGACGGCACAGTCTGCCTCCGCATGTAAATGGACGCCTCTTCCTTTCCGACGAATCCTCCACAACTCACCGTGCAGCTGACTGTGGGCGCCCGGGATGGCGCTGCAGGAGGCCGCCCGGTGGGCGAGCCCTTGTAGGGCCGGCGAAGCTGTCACGCGGCGGCGACGGCGTTGGAAGTGTAGTCCCAGCCGCGCCGCTCCACGCTGTAGTACTTGCTGGGCAGCACCGAGAAACCTGGCCCCACGGAGGAGGGAACACCATGTCAGGCCCAGAGATGTCAAAGGCCGAAACGAATGAGAGAATGAGACATTAGATACATTATTTATACTTATATATATAATATATATTGTGCGGGGTGAGTATATACATATGCGTATATATATATATATTTCTAATATATATTATATATATATATATATATATTTATATATA